ACAAAAAAAATGGAGAAATGAGACTAAGGCTGAAGCTTAGAGAATGAATAGGATCACAGCTCAAAAGAGTCACATGATAATACTAAAGGCATTTGTAATTCAAACTGCCACCATTTTGTATATCTTTAAGAAAACCCAGTCTCCTGACATCTAAAAATAATGATATCTTAGCATCTTGGAAATATTTCAAGACACATTGCCTTTAAGATAAAGCATCTCAGAATAACTGTATGTTTAAATTACTGACATATTTTGGGTCATTTGTGCATATTATTTCTATTTTGTTGATGATAACAAGAGGGGTAGATGTTAAAGTAGTTGTGCAAGTCACACAGCTGATAAGTACTGCCTACTAATGTTGTTCTTTCTATAATAATAAAGTGAGGCTCGAATCCAACATGGCGGCCGCGCGCGGAGAGATCAAGTCTCTGACCTCTTCAGCTGTGTGGGCATAGGGAGTCATAAACAATCTAAATTCTGTTTGCTCAGGATCACTAGGCAATGCTGAGCTGACGTGAATCTGGGGCGAGCAGTCTGGACCTCTCAGAACACACAATGGGGCCGGATCGGCTGAATTCAAGCTCCGGTTCGCCTGCTTCCTGCAGACAAACAGCTGTGACTCAGCACTAATCCATCCGGCTGAAACAACCTTCAGCCCTTCTGATCCTACGGAGGCAAATGCCAACTGAGCCTTCATAGGTAGTGGCCACAGGTTTGAAACAGGGCTTGGGAGAGACAGTAAGGACCCACCAGTTGCATTGGTCACCTAGCAAAGGGAAACAAACTGTTGCCATTTTCAAGAGATACCACCATGGCAGAGAACTGATGTCACCAGACTGCGGCAGAGGAGATGACTTCATTGAAACCTGCGGCTACAGGTGTGTAATTCCCTAGCCTTCCCTCTCCACACATCGGGGAAACCTTAAGGGCCCCTCCCAGCTCTCCCGTGAGCGCAATACCAGACTGAGGGAATCAGACGTGGCGCGGGACCCGCGGTGCGGAATTCCCAGCTACCACTCCCACCAGTGCTGACAACCAAGATCTCTTGCACCAGCTAACGGGGGCGTGGCTACCGGAGGGCAAGTAAAATTCGCAAGTAAACTTAGGATCTGAGGAAATGGCAAACAGGGAGAGTGTGCCCAGTCATTCATGAAAACAGGGCTCCCAGGAGCAGCAGACTTGGCGTGTAGCCAGTATTGTTGTTAGCGGCACCGGTGAGAGGGGCCTGGCTAGAGAAAAAGTGGGGAAGTGACTAGACACAAGAGGAGGCCCTAGGCACTCAGGATTGGAGACTTGCCCAGGCTGGGAGGAAGAGCTGCTGCACAGTGATTGGTTCCTGCATATTGACAGGAGAAACTTGGCCTGGTGGGCACAGCACCACCT